TTCCATCCTCCAGCCATCCCCGTTTGTTCTACAACTTGTTTTGCATCCATGGCTTCACTGCGCATCCTGTGTATGCGACTGGCTAGAAGTTAGGCGTGCGAAGCGCAGGCCCGAATGTAGCAAAGGAAGACGAAGACGTGAGAGGGACAAGAAGAGAGGAGGAGGAAGAGGAGGAGGAGGAGGAGGAGGAGAGCAGAGGGGGGAGGGGGATGATGAGGAGGAGGAGGAGGAGCAGGAGGAGGAGGAGGAGGAGGAGGAGGAGGAAGGAGGAGGGGAGGGGGAGAGGAGGAAAGGGAGGGAGGAGGAGGAGAGGGAGGGAGGATGAGGAGGAGGAGGAGGAGGAGGAGAGGAGGATTGAGGTGGAGGGGGGAGGAAGGGGAGGAGGGAGGAGGAGGAGGGAGGGAGGAGGAGGGAGGAGGAGGAGGAGGGGAGGGGAGGAGGATGAGGTGAGGAGGAGGGAGGAGAGGAGGAGGAAGGAGAAGAGGAGGAGGAGGAGAGGAGTAGGAGGAAGGAAGGAGGGGAGGAGGAGGAGGAGGAGGGGGGGGGCAGGAGGAGGAGGAGGAGGAGGTGGTGTCTGCAACCGATGTTCCGGGACGCCGAAGAACATGTGTTCGCAAGAGGGGGCTCGCAATGGAGCCGCTCCGGGGGCGGCGGCGCGGCCACCGTGCTTCACCTGGGAAGAAAGCAGCCATCGACGTATACAGTGGGGGCCGATGCCAAGAAGCACCCTACTTGCCTCCAGGGTGCCCTGGGGTTCTTGGGCTTCGATTGTTTTGCTATGGCAATCGTGGCGTTCCCACACCAAAAATCAGTCGGCGTCCTGGGGTCTCAGGGCTGGGTTTCCCGTGGAAGGTTTCTTGTGGTCGGGCCCCTGCTGCACTGAAACCGGTGCCCAGATGTCAGCGACATGAGCCTGGTTTTTCTGGTCCGCTGTTGCGAGGTCCAGGCTCGCTTCGCTGACCGTCGACGTGCTCGACGTGTGTTTAGCTCGGGTCCTTGCAAGCACTCCCACCTGAAGCACGTGGGTCCCCGCGTCCGTCGCACCGCATACCAAAAACGAGCCCATTCACATGTTTTCGACAACTATGTTTCATACTCAGCTTCTCCTCCTTCCCTTTCCTCTTCCCTCTGTGGTTTTCCCCCTCCCCGCGCGCCTGCTCAGGCGGTGGCCCTCCCCGTCCTGCCCCCGCGGGCGCCCCTGCTCAGCCTCCCGAGCGCGGTCCGGGTGAGTGCCACCCTCCCTCCGTGCACCCTCTGGACCGCCGCCCTTGAGGTTTGGGGTCTCCAGGGTTGTTTTGCATGCTGAACTCCCGCTGCCCAGGGGTCGCACAGCGCAGAAGTGGTCGCCAGTCCTCTCGGGCGCCGGCGCGGCGACCAAAGTGGAGCTGGCCTTCAGGCTCGGCCGCGGGGGTCCTTCCTTGTTCAAACGGGCCTTGCGTCAGCTGCGCGGCAAAGTGGATGCGGCCCGACAGGAAGCCTTCGGGGCGGGTTCCTCGAACGAGCGCGGCGCTTCCCGCGGTCGACGTGGAGCTCTGACTGAAAAGCCGCCCGAAATGCCCAGGGAGCTGCGCGCGCACGCCGTCACAAAGAGAGGGCGCGCGCGTCGCAAGCGCGGTGAGTTCGGGGGCGGCCTCGGAGAGGGGCCGCTGCGGCAGTCCGGCGGTGGCCCCCGTTCGCCCACCCCCAGGGGTCGCGGAGGGGCTCGCACTCCTGTGCGGCGCAAGTGCCCCCCTTCCCCCCTCCCCCCCTCCGCCCCCCCCCCTGGCCCCCCCCCCCCCTTTCCCCCCCTTTCCCCACCACTCCCCCCCTCCCCCCTCCCGCCCTTCCCCCCCCCCTCCTCTCCCCCTCCCCCCCCCCCTTTCCCCCCTCTCCCCCCCCCCCTCCTCTCCCGTCCCCCCCCCTTCCCCCTCTACACATTACACAATAACAATATGAATACTACTCTCTCCCCTCTTCTCCCTGATTACGTGCTGGGAGTGTTCGCCCCCCCCCCCCGCGTCTTGTTTTTTTACACACAGGTTTCCCCGGAGTTGGGTTTTCGCTTACATTTTTTTTTTCAAAATGCTGCTCTCGCTGAGGCGCCGGCCTCATTTTCGGGCCCCGCTCGTTCCGAATCGTGCTCCCGCTGCAGCGCTGGCCTCATTTCCGTGCTTCCGCTCGTTCCGAATCGTGCTCCCGCTGCAGCGTTGGCCTCATTACCGCGCTTCCGCTTGTTTCGACTCGTGCTCCCGCTGCAGCGCTGGCGTCATTTCCCGTGCCATGCCACGGCGTGCAATGCATGCTAGGTTGATACTACGCTTTGCGGTGCTCTTCTACGCCATGCCACGCCGTGCTCTACAATGCATCGCGTACCCTTTCGGGATCATTGCCCTGCTCGACATCCGACTGTGCGAGTAGAGAGGGGATCTGCGCCATGGTAAGGGATGGGAGGGAGGGGTAGGATGTCAGATATGACGCGAGCGCACCTAGCTTGCCCTTCCCCCCCTCCCCCCCTCCCCCCTTCCCCCCTCACTCCTCCCCCCAGGAGTGCAGAACACCACCCCGAGATCCCACCCAGGGACCGCCCGGGAAAGTCGTGAGGGTTTTTCCAATGCGTAGGGGGTTTGGTACACAGACTACGTTGTTGGGCTTCTGTCGCTGACTGAAAAAGAAGGGTGTTTAGGGGAGTTGTGCTCCCTGAAGGCTCTTGCCACTGACTGAAGCCCCGAGCGTAATCACGGGTTCGCAGGAGTTTGATTTGCCCCCCCCTGGTTGGGATTTTGAGAGCGGTGCCGCGGCGCGGGAAGCTCCAGACTCGCACTTCGACCGTGAACAGTTCGGCCAACGTGGAAGATGTGACCCGCGAGCGGAACGACTGCCACGAAACATGGCGGAAATGGAAGCGCTGCGAGGCTGGGGAAACGGGCGCCTGGCGCCACTGGCTTCGTTTCCGCAGGACCACGGGGAGCGCCGGCGCAGCCCTTGTCCATGGCCACTTCCGGATTCATCACGCTGCGACACGCCTCACTCGGTGCGACGGCGTGCTTGCGCAGCTTCTGGGGCACTTTGGGCGGCCTTCCAGCAGGGGCTCCAGGTCGACCGCGCGAACCTTCTGCGCGACGGTTTACGGGGGGCCGCCCCGAAGGGTTCTCTTCAAGGCCGTCTCCGCGCGGCCGCGCAGCTTGCGCAAAAGCGGCTGGGATGAGCAAATCCCGCGGCCGAGCCTGAAGGCCACCTCCCCTTTGTTCGCCGCGCTGGCGGCCGAGCCGCCTGTCGGGCTGGCGCCCAAGGGGGCTGACGGCCATTTCTCTGCGCTATGCGATCCGTGGGCCTGCTCTGCGGGCAGGAGAGGCCTCGGGAGGCCCCTGGCGGCCCCCCAGAGAAGCAGAGCGGGGGGCCACGGAGAGCGGCGGGGGGGTTGGGGGCGAGGCAGGCAGGAAGGAGGTCAATCACTTTGATTATGATCAGGAGGAGGAGGAAGAGGAGGAGGAGGAGGAGGAGGGAGAACGCCACAGGGACTTCCCTAAGATTGGTTGAACGTGAAAGAAAAAAGCGGAAGAGCTGGGCGACCGCGAGCGAAGGAGGCGGAGTATCGGCGCGAGCAGGAAGAGGGGGAGGAGGGGGAGGAATGAATGCTGGAGGAGGAAGCGCCGTGCTAAAATAAGCCGGCATCCCCTGTAATCTTGCGGCCCCGCTGCGTCCACGCTGTTCCAGGCCTCTGATCTCTTCGATGTTCCATAACCCCCCAGAGCAGTCTACGTATGTAGCTGCACCTTCCCCATCTCCGTTTCCCCCCGCCCCCGCCCCTTTCCCTCTCGTCTACGTCGTCGATGTTCGTTTCCTCACCTGCCCGTTGGGTTCCTTGGCGATGGCAGGAGTGCGTGTCTTTTCCTCCCCAGGGTCGTGCTAGCTGCCCGGGCGAGAGAGCGCCAGCGTTCGCACTGGGGGGTGGCGCCCGGATCCCCCCCCCCAGCATGCTGTGGTGCACGCGTCGACCACGCGCAGAGGGGGGTGAGGGGAGGGGGGAGGGCTTCTTAGAAGCACCCCTGCTTCTTAGAAGGCGCGGGCCTTCTCTATAGATGTAAGGCCGGCGCCTTCTAAGAAGCAGCATCTTTCTAAGAAGCCCTCCCCCCTCCCCCCTTCCCCTTGTGCGCGCCGCCAAACGCGGGCGATTGATGCGCCGGTGGCTCGGACGCACCACGGCGGGTGCACGCCGCGGCCGCCGTTACCGTGACCCTCCCGCCCGCCCCCCCCAGGTAACGACCGTCATCCGGGGACGAAAAGGAGTCACAAGCGTGGTCGCGCAAAGGGGGGGGGGGGGTCCGAGGCGGGGTTTATACACGAGCACCGCCAGGGGCGTCGGCCTTCTGGGGCTTCGGCAGGCGGTTGATGTGGATGTACTCGGCCCCGCTGGGGCCAAAATGTACAGGGCGACGAGATCTATAATACAGATCCACTGCTCCTGGCCAGGCCCATCCTGGGCCCAGGAGCGGTGTGAGTTCCTCCCCGGCTTGGCCAGGAGGCGTATGCACCTCTCCTGGGCCCAGTAACTATGGGCCTGGCCAGGAGCAGCGTAGATGTGTAGATCGCTTCGCCCTGCTGTATCCATACCTGCCGCTCGACGGGGTCTCAGGACGTCGGCTCCACGGGCGTTGGATCTGGATCTCCTCCGCCCCCTCCCCACGTCGACCCAGCCGTCACTGTCCGTCCTTCGTATCGTCCTCCTCTGGCTTCTCATCCCCGTCCCCCTCTTCCTCGTCGTCGTCCTCCTCCTCCTCCTTCTCCTCCTCCTCCTCCTCCTCGTCCTCTTCGTCCTTTTCCTCCTCCTCCTCCTTCGTAGCGTCCTCCTCTGGCTTCTCATCCCCGCCCTCCTCTTCCTCGTCGTCGTCCTCATCCTCCTCCTCCTCCTCCTCCTCCTCCTCCTCCTCCTCCTCTCCTCCTCCTCTTCCTCGTCGTCTTCCTCCTCCTCCTCCTCGTCCTCTTCGTCCTTTTCCTCCTCCCCCGCGCGCCGAACTCGGCCCAGAGCGTGCGCCGCGCCGCAGGGCCGCGCGCGCGGCAGGCGGGCCGGGACCCGGGGGGCCAGACTCGAGGGGCGGCGACGATGCGCATTAGCGGTAAGTCGGGCCTGTCCCTCTACAGGGGGGGTATTCAAAAATAGTAGAACAATGGTCTGGGGACTTTTTTTGTATCTTTCGACGATGTTGGACTATTTTTGGAGCGTTTTTGATTTTTCGTCGAAAATCCCCCTGTAGGGGGACACGCCCGACTTCATATTAGCGGCAGGTTCGCATCTGGGGCGACCCGGGGCGACCTCGCCGCCGGCATTCCACGTGGAACGCCGCTGGCGAGCCAGACGGCCGATCGTTCAAGGTGGAACGATCTGAGCGGTGTCAGAGACCAGCGCTTCCGTCGGCTCGACACGAACCTGCCGCACCTGGTGGTGGTGTGTCGGTCCCCCACCTCCTCTCCAGTGCCGGGAGAGCGGGCAGGGGCTGGGGGACCGGGGCCAGAGCTGGGGGCGGCGCAGACGACGACTGACGGAGACGACGAGCAGACAAACCCCTGGCACACGCCGACGGGGTCGTTGGATTTGCAATCCACGTCCAAGTCCACGTCCACCCCCACGTCAAAACTTGCGTCACACCCGTGTCGAGCCCCTCGTCCACACCCAGTGAGAGTGGCCCGATTTCAACATGTCAGGCCGCTTCCTTGCAACACATGTAGCAAACACGATCCAGCGCAATACACGTACCAAAGACGACTACGGTGAATCACCGCCGCCCCCTGCCTTCATGAATCGCTTATGTGACCGAAAATCTCGGCCAGAGCTCGGCCAAGCTATTGGACGACTGTGTGTTCCCTCGGCCATAGTGAATACCATTCGGGGCACATGTGGGAGAGAAAGAAAAGGAGGAGGAGGAGGAGGAGGAGGAAAGAGGATGAGGAAAAAGGAGGAGGAGGAGGCCTCTTGGGAGCCTCTCTTGTGGCATGTTCGGAGCCTCGTGGGAGCTTCACGGGGGCACTCTGGGAAGCTTCTCCGGGGCTCCCTCGGGCCTCTTAGGGGGCCCTGTCTAGCCTCCCTGGGAGGCTCTTTCGCCGACTTGGGGGCGCTCCTGGCTCGCCTGGCCGCCTCCTTCCCTCCCTCCTTCCCTCCCTCCTCCCTCCTCCCCCTCCTCCCTCCCTCCCTCCTCCCGCACTCCCTCCCTCCCTCCTCCCTCCCTCCTCCCTCCCGCCTCCCTCCTCACTCCCTCCTCCCTCCCTCCTTCCCTCCTCCCCCTCCCCCTTCCCTCCTCCTCCTCCTCCGCCTCCTCCTGCTCCTCCTCCTCCCATCTTGTGGCGCTTCAGGGCCGTCTTGGAGGCCATCTTGGGCATCTTGGAGTTCTCCTGGCCCCCTTTGGGGGCTCCTGGCTCGCCTGGCTGCCTCCTCCTTCCTCCCTCTTTCCCTCCCTCCTCCCTCCTCCTCCTCCTCCTCCGCCTCCTCCTGCTCCGCCTCCTCCTCCTCCTCCTCCCCATCTTGTGGCGCTTCAGGGCCGTCTTGGAGGCCTTCTCGGGCATCTTGGGTGTCTCCTGGGCCCCCTTTGGGGCCGTCCTGAGGGCCTCTTGCCGAGGCCTCCTTGTGAGCTCGTGGGGCCACCTTGGACCGTCGGAAAGCCGAAAACGAGCAACCCCTAAATATGTCAAGCTCCTAAGGAACATGACTGAGTTCCACATATTCGGGCCTTCCTGGAGGTCCTCTTGGAGGCCTCTATTGCAGTCTTGCAGGCCTCTTAGCGCCGTCTCGGGCGATCTTGAGGCCATCTTGTCAGCATCTCGGCCTGTCTTGGAGACATCTTGGCGCCATCTTGGGCTCTCATGGGGCCATCGTGGCCGTCTTGGAGAGCAGCTTGGCCGTGTTGCAGACCCTCTTTAGGACCGTGCATGGCGGAAAGACCCACGTCTTGTGCAGTTTACGGGTCTTCATGGAGGCGAGTTTTCCCGCTTGCCCCATCCTTATGAGCGTCCTTCGGGTGGCCGCCGGGTTGGGCCGAAGCTTTTTGGATACTGGCACGTCGTGCCTTCTTGTAGCAAGCCGCAGGGGGCTGCGGATCGAAGACGCCTACGGCGAATCACCGCCGCCCCCTGCCTTTTTGGAAGCGCCTATGTGGCCGAACGTTGAGGCCAGACCTGCCAAGCTATCGGACCACGTGTTCCCCGAATCGGTTTGGAAAGCCTTCGGGGAACACGTGGGCATCTTGAAGGTCATCTTGGCCGTCTTGGAGGCCTCTTGGGCAAGCTTTGGGCGATCTTTGGGGCTTTTTGGGCCGTCTCGGGCCAGCTTCGAGCCAACTTCGGCCATCTTGGTGGGTTCCTGGCACGTCTGAAGCCGTCGGAAGCCGTTTGGGGGGCCTCTATGGGCCGACTTGGGGCCCGCTTGGAATGCTCCAGGGCCGTCTTGGAGGCCATCTTGGGCGTCTGGGAGGCCATCTTGGGCGTGTTGGAGGCCTCTTGGGCCCTCTTGGGGCCCTCTAGGGGCCATCTTGGAGGCCACTTGGGCCATCATGGGGCTCTCTTGGGGGCCTCTTGGGCGATCTTGGGGGCTTCTTGGGCCGTCTTGAGCCGTCGGAGAGCCGAAAAGGCGCAAATGCCAAAATCCTTCAAAAACCAACGGAAAATCAATGATTTTGGCCTCTTCGGACTCTCCTGGAGGACCTCTTGGAGGCCTCTTGGGCCGTCTGGGAGGCCTCTGGGGGGCCTCTTGGGCCGTCTTGGGCCGTCTTGGACTCTCTTGGGCCGTTTTGGAGGCCGTCTTGGACCATCTCGGGCGAACTTGGAGGCCATCTTGGGCCATCTTCGCGATTGTTTGAGGATGTCCCGAGCGAAACGGCCGTTTTTGGGCATTGAGAGATGGGTTTTGGGCAATTCGCGGGTGGCCGGCGGGACGGGCCGAAGCCCACTGGGGAGATCTTTTAGAAAAAGAACCAAAACCAAAACCTGAATCATCCAGCACGCCGTGCACCCCTGCAAGCAGGGGGCGGCGGATCTGGCGGCTTTCGGCCCATCCTGCCACCGTGCCTGTGTCGTTGACCAGAGGCCTCTGGGTGGCCTCTTGGAATCACATGGGAGGCCTCTTGAGGGCGTCTTGGGTGCCTGTTTGGTGCTTCTCGGAGCCTCCTGGGGACCTCTTGGGGACGGGGCCTATGTGGGGGCGTCTTTTGGGTCTGCTGGCAGTCTCGGTGACAAGTTTGTGGTAAAGGGCTCCACATGTCAGTTCCTACTCCCCTCGTCCTGAGGCCGTCTCTGGGCCGCGTGTGCACATCTTCGGGGCCCCTTAGGTCCTCGCTGGAGGCCACTCTGTGAGCTTCTTGGGGGGTTCTTCTGGACTCCTGGGGGCATTCTGGAGCCTTCGGAGAGTCTTTAGGACTTCGTTGGCTGGTGTTCGTGCCGTCTGGTTGGGTCTCGAGGCCATCTTCGAGCTTGAATGGGGCGGTCTCATGGGATGGGGGGGCACGGGGGGGCGTCAGTTCAAATCCATAGAGTTTCTACCAGACAACTTTCAAGAGCAGATGCGTTCCACTGTTGTGCAGGACCAGTGTCGGACAGCCGATGCCGATGCCATGAGAGCAACATTCCTCTCCTTCTCTTCTACCCCACCCCCCCTTCCACTTGTCGTCGCCTGCCTCATCGCCTCAGCTGCTGTCGTCGCCGCCGTCGCCGTCGCCGTCGTCGTTGCCGCTGTCGTTGCAGTCGCGCCGTCACCGCTGCTGCTGCTGCTGCTGCTGCTGCTGCCGTCGTCTTCGCCGTCCGCGCCGTAGCCACAGTGAGACCCGTCTTCATCTGCTCCCTCCCTCCCTGGAGCTTGTGGCCATCTCGTCAGCGGGAGGAGCTTTTGCGCCGCCGACGGGAGCATCGGGCGGAGGCGTCGAGGCGGGCGGCGTGCAGTCGGAGGAGCGTGGGGTGCAGGAGGCGTCGGCGGAGCGAGGGTTTGAGGCGCTGGCATGCCGGGCAGCCACGGGGCCGCGCCGCAGTGGACCATCCCCAGCGCCGAGAGGGGCAGGCGCCCCCCCCGCCGCGGCAGTGCCTGCCTCGCCCCCTCTGCTCTCCGGCTCCGCCCTCCGCCCTCCTCCAGCTGACGCCCCTCCTCCTCTTCCTGTTCCTCCTCCTCCTCCTCCTCCTCCTCCTCCTCCTCCTCCTCCTCCTCCGCCAAGAGGGGGGTAATGACTATCGGGGGCCCCCCAAACGGGGACGGTGGCCACACCGTGCGGTGAGTCGGTGGGGATTCTGGGTCACCGCACGGTTTTGGGGCTCGAGTCCTGCTCCGAGGATGTCTCGGGCGGCAGGGGCCTCCAGGGTCCCAAGACCGTGCGGTGACGGACCGTGCGGTGAGGTCTTGGGGGATTTCGAGGTCACCGCACTCCCAAGACTAGGGGGGGGAATATCATAGCGTGGGCCATGACATTTCCTCAGATTTCATGGCGCCTCTTCTTATTTCATTACGTCCGTGGCTCCCCCTTGGGCCGCGCACAGGCCGCCGGCCATGATTTGCACCCCCCTCTTGGACGCCGCCCTCTTGGCCCCCCCCGATGACGAGCTGCGATCGAGGCGAACGCATCGTACGAAGAGCCCAGGCTCGAGGAACCTGAGGGCGGAGGTCGATCTCAACCTGTTCTGGCGCCTGTGGGGCCCAAGCCCGGTCAAGCCCTCTGCCCTCCTCTCTCAGACCCTCCTCGTGTCCTGACCCCTGACCCTCCGCCGTGCCCCCCATCGATGCTCGAGCTGCAACTGAGTCCCTGACAGGTGGGTTCGATGGGAGGACCCTCACGGTCTACAGGCGGGTCGTGCGGGCGGACCCTGGCGGACGTTCATCATACCCGTCATCATCATCCTCATCATCATTTTTTTTTGTTTTCTTTTTTTTCATCGTCCTCATCATCATCATCATCCTCCTCATCATCATCCTCATCATCATCCTCATCATCATCCTCATCATCAACATCATCATCATCATCATCATCATCAGATTCAGCAGCATCAGCATCATCATCATCACCATCACCATCATCTTCATCATCATCGTTCCTATCCTCGTCACCATCATCAGCAGCATCAGCATCAGCATCATCGTTACAATCAGCATCATCATCGTTGTCGGCACCCATCATCATCGTCATCATCATCATCATCATCATCATCATCATCATCATCATCAATAACAACATCATCAATAACAACATTATCCTCATCCTCATCATCATTCCCATCACCATCACCATCATCATTCCCATCACCATCACCATCATCAGCATCTTCTCTTCCATCGTCATTATCATCGCTACCATCATTATCAGCATCATCATCGTCGTCATCATAATCATCGCTGGCATCAGCATCATAATCATCAGTATCATCATCATCATCATCATCCCCATCATCATCATTCCCATCATCATCATCATCATTCCCATCACCATCACCATCATCATCATCTTCTCTTCCATCGTCATTATCATCACTACCATCATTATCAGCATCATCATCGTCGTCATCACAATCATCGCTGGCATCAGCATCATAATCATCAGTATCATCATCATCATCATCATCATCATCATCCCCATCATCATCATTCCCATCATCATCATCATCATCATCATCATCATCATCATCATCATTCCCATCATCATCATCATCATCATCATCATACTTCCCTTCATCGTCACCATCATCATCACCATCATTCCCATCATCATCGCCATCATCAACATCATTCCCAGTATCACCATCATCATCACCGTTCCCATCATTGTCATCGTCATCGTCAGCATCGCAATCATTAACATCATCGTCATTCCCATCATCATGACCATGATACTCATCATGTATATCATCATCACGATCAGCAGCATCATAACCATTCTCATCATCATCACCATCATCATCATTCCCATCATCCTCACCATCATCATCATCAGCATCTTCATAATCATTATCATCATCATTCCCAGCATCACCATCATCATCATGATCATTCCCACCATCACCAGTTACGCCAGCATCACCATGATCATCACCACCATCCTCATCATTGTCAGCATCATAATTCCCATCATCACCATCACCATCATCATCACCACCATCATCACCACCGAGGGCATCATCACCATCACAATCATTACCATCATCATCACCACCATCATCATTCCCATCGTCACAATCATCATTATCATCATCAGAATCATCACCATCATAATCACCACCAGCATCATCAGCAAGAATATCATCATCATCATAATTCTCATCGTCATCACCACCTTCATCATCATCAGCAGTCCCATCAGCATCACCATCATCATCGTTCCATTCATCACCATCATAATCGGCACCATCCTTCCCATGATCACCATCAACATTCCAGCATCATCATCATTCCCATCATCATCATCATCACCATTGACATAATCATTGCCATCATCATCATCATCAGCATCATCATCATCATGTTCATCATCATCATCACCATCACCATCATCATCAGCATCACAATTCCCATTATCATCACCATCATCATCATTCCCATCATCCTCACCATCATCATCATCAGCATCATCATTCCCATCTTCACCATTCTCATCAGCATCGTTCCCATCACCATCGCCATCGTCATCACCATCACCATCTCCAACATCGTCACCGTCATCATCATCATCATCCTCATCATCATCATCATCATCATCATCATCATCATCATCATCATCATCATCTTCATAAGCATCGTCATCATCACCATCACCATCAGCATCATCAGTATCGTCATTCCCGTCATTACCACCATCATCATCAGTATCACCATAATCAGCATCTCTAGCATTGTCCTCATCATCGTCGTTCTCATCATCATGCGCAGTCCCATCATCATCACCATCATCATCATTTCCCAATCATCGTCATCATCATCATCATCATCATCATCATCATCCCCATCATCGTCATCATTAGCAGCATTACCACTCGCATCATCATCACCACTATCAGCGTCATCATCATCGTCCCCATCACCATGCTCATCATGGTCATCCCAATCATCACCATCATCAGCATCGACATCGTCAACATTACCACCATCATCACAATTATCAGCATAATTTCCATCGTCATCACCATCATCCTCATCATCATCATCATCGTCATCATCACCATCACCATCGTGATTCCGAACCATCGCCATCGTCAGCATCATCATCATCCCCACCATCATCATCATCATCATCAGCATCATCATCATCATCACCAGCATCAATCATTACTCTCATCATCATCACCACTACACGCATCATCATCATCGCCCCCATCACCATGCTCATCATGATCATTACACTCATCACCATCACCACCATCATTTGCATCAGTATCAACATCAGCATTCCCATCATGATCACCATCATCATCATAATTCCCATCGTCATCACCGTCATCATCATCATCATCTTCATCATCATCATCATACTCATTCCCATCACCACCACCATCATCATCGTTATTTATTTCATCATCGCCATCTGCTTTAAGGGGTTCTGCTGGTGGCGGAAGTGGTAAAGCGTCGTTGCGCCCCTCGGGAGGCCGAACAAGGACGTAGCGCCACACATTAGGATTCCCATTGGGGCGCTTCAGAGCAGATTCGATATTTTCGAGAGGCCATCATCACCATCATCATCAGCATTCCCATGATAAGATCAGCATCATGATCATAAGCATCACCATCATTATCATACCCATCAGCATCATCATCTTCATCCACATCATCACCATCATCATCATCATCATCATCATCATCATCATCATCATCATCATCATCATCTCCATCGTCATCACCATCGTCATCACCATTCCGATCATCATCAACATTATCAGCATGGACATTCCAATCATTCTCACCATTGTCAGCGTCATCATCATCATTCCCATCATCATCACCATCATAATCATTATCACCATTCCCAACATCATCACCATCATCATCATTCCCATGATCATCATAATCCTCACCACCATCATCACCACCATATCATCATCATCATCATCATCATCACCGTCATAATCATAATCGTCGTGTCCATCATCATCATCGTCAGCAGCATCATCATCATTTCCATCATCATCGCCATCATCATCATTCCAATCATCATCACCATCATCATCATCATTCCCATTATCATCACCATCCTCGTCATTCCCATCATCATCACCCTCATTGGCAGCATTCCCATCAGCACCATCAGCATCACCATCATTATTCCGATGATAAGCATCATCATCATAATTCCCAGCATCATCACCATCATCCTCATTCACATTATCATCAGAACCATCATCATTATCCTCATCATCATCACCATCATCATCATCGTCATCATCATTCACGTCAGCATCACCATCACCATCACCATTCCCATCACCATCATCACCATCACCATGTCGGCAACCCAGACGCTACTCTCTCGCTATGGGCGCGAGTCAGGTTCTGGAAGCCAGGTCGGGCTCATGGGGCGCCCACCTTGGCCTTCGGGATCTCCCCTATCACCATCATCACCATCATCACCGTCATCATTATTAGCATTATCCTCCTTCTGCTCAATTCCCTCTTCCCGCCCTCTCCCTTTCCTTGTCATGCCCACATCCTTCCTGCCGCCTCTCGTCCCTTCTCCCGCCAGGCCTCCGCGGACAGGCGCGGACGCCATCGATCCCGGGGCTTACAAGGTCGAGAGGGACTTTCCGACCTCCGCGGACGAGCTGCGAAAGGGCAAGCTGACCTCGTCGAGATCCTCACCCTCGTTCACCTTCTCTGGGGAGGATCGAACTGACGGCCGCGGCAAGCTGAAGGGGATGAACTTTCCGCTGGGCCGCTGGCACAGCGACGCCGGCCCCGGGCAGTACGATCTCGAGATGACCTGGCCAGCCCGCCAGAGGGCCAAGCAGCCGCACTACTCCGTGCCAAAGGCCGCGAGGGCCACGCAGGCAGCTCCTCGCGGGCCCGGGCCCGGCGAGTACTGCCTGCCGAGCCAGTTCGGCAATGCCGGCGCGCGGAGCCTGGAGCCGCTCGAGGTGGCGGCCAGGAGTCAGAGGAGCGGGGTGCAACCGTTGACATTCGAGGCGGTCTACTCTGCAAGATTTCACGGGTGCTCGATTTGAGCGCTTTTCCGCCGCAGTCGGACGGGCCGGAGATCCAGAACACGATCCCTGCCCAGAGCCATTCGTGGTCTCGGCAATGGTCCCGGAGCAGCTGGTCTGTGGGCAAGGGCGGAGCCCGGGCCCTCGAATTCGGTGGCCCGGCGTGTCATATCCTCCCCGCCGCGGCCCCCCAGCCGGGCCCCCGAAAGACGTGGCCCATCGAGGCCCCCGCGGTGGCACCCCAGCCGAGCCACCGCAATCGGTGGCCCATCGTGGCCCCAGTCGAAGCCCGCCCGCCCTGTCCCGAGTCCTCGCCCTTCCCAGTCCTCTCCCGTGTCCGTACCCCCCATCCCTGGACCGAACCCCTCTCCCGAATCCCACATGCGTGTTTCTTGAGGTGTGTGTGTGTGTGTGTGTGTGCGTGCGTGCGTGCGTGCGTGCGTGTGTGTGGGTGTGTGCGTGTGTGTGTATGTGCGTGTGTGTGTGTGGTGTGTGTGTGTGTGCGTGCGTGCGTGCGTGCGTCTGTGTGCGTGTCTGTGTGTGTGTCTGTGTGTGTGTGTGTGTGTGTCTGTGAGTGTGTGTCTGCGTGGGTCTGCGTGGGTCTGCGTGTGTCTGCGTGTTTGTGTGTGTGTGTGTCTGCGTGTGCGTGTGTGCGTGCGTGCGTGCGTGCGTGCGTGCGTTCGTGTGTGTGTTGTGTGTTGTGTGTTGTGTGTGTGTTGTGTGTTGTGTGTGTTGTGTGTTGTGTGTGCTGTGTGTGTGTTTGCGTGTGTGTTTGTGCGTGTGCGTGTGCGTGTGCGTGTGCGTGTGCGTGTGCGTGTGGGTGTGGGTGTGGGTGTGGGTGTCTGTGTGTGTGCGTGTCTGTGTGTGTGTGTGTCTGTGTGTGTGTCTGTCTGTGTGTATGTGTCTGTGTGTGTCTGTGTGTGCGTCTGCGTGTGTCTGTCTATACCACGTGGCGTACACAAAGCTTGCACCACCCAGCTTGCACCAGATAGCCTACACGACTCAGACTGTGCCACGTCTACTACACCACATAACTTGCACAACATAGCGTTCACCACATGGTTGCAGCACATAGTTTTCACACCAGAGTGCACTAACTTACTGATTGGGGTCCACGCTGGCTAACACATCCGTAACCCGGATCCCCATCCAGATGCTTGCGGCAAACCCCGCCACCATGCCAGCGCAACAGCGCAGCAGGAATGATATTGACTGTAAGACCCGCTCAGATTCAGACAGGGTGCTGACTGAACTGGAGCGAGGTTTGAGCACCCCCTCCTTGTCCGCAACCTCGTTATCCTCTTTCGTGTCCCTCGTTGCTTTTCGTCGCTCTCCTGATTCCCAACCATCCTGTGGTGTTGGGTCCTCGTTTTGAAGAGACGGTCCCCGCGTTCTTCTCCTTCTCCTCCTCCTCCCCCTCCTCCCTCCTCCCCCTCCTCCCTCCTCCCTGCGCTTCACCCACCCAGTACAGTGTTTCGTGGCCCCATAGGGAGCTCCACCGAAGGCCCCAGTGGCAGGGTTCGCATGGCGGCCCCGCTCCATTTCGGCGCATCCCTCACGCGCTTCGTGGCCCCATAGGGAGCTCCACTGAAGGCCCCAGTGGCAGGGTTCGCATGGCGGCCCCGCTCCATTTTGGCGCACCTCTCACACGGCTCGTGGCCCCATAGGGAGCTCCACCGAAGGCCCCAGTGGCAGGGTTCGCATGGCGGCCCCGCGCCATTTTGGCGCACCCCTCACACGGTTCGTGGCCCCGGTTGGGAATTCCCTTTGCTTCGCCCCAGCTGCACTGCGGTTCTCACGTTTGCGTATGGTTGGGTCCTTCGCCAGGGTCATGTCTCTCTCTTCTCGGCGGCGAGCGAGGGGGGGTAGTGAGAAGGAGAAGGGCTTCTCAGAAGGCGGTGGGACTTTTCAGAAGTCCTTGCGGCTTCTGAGAAGTTTTTTGTGTCTTCGGGGAAGGCTTAGAAAACTTCTCAGAAGTCCGGGGGACTTCCGAGCCTTCTGAGAAGGCCCGCCCCTTCCTACTTCCCCCCCTGGCTCGCCGCCTATCGTCAGCGTGCCTTGGGAGGCTTCTGAGGCCTCCTGGAGGCCGCTCGGGGGCCTCCTGGGGCCATCCCGGCGGCCCTCGGGGGGCCTGCTTGGGGGGGGGGGCGCGTGGGAGGCCTCTCTCGGGGGGGGCACCTCGGGGGGTTCCGAGGGCGTCTGGGGGGGCCGCCTCGGGGCCTCTTGAGGGGGGCATGCCGGGGGTCTGCTGCGAGGCAAGCTCGGAGGAGAAGGCTCCCCGATGTTCCTCTCGGGCCCCTCTCGGGGCTTCCTGGGAGGCCTCGGGGGGCCGGCCTGGGGGCCTCTGGGGGCCGTTTCGGGATCCCTCCTGAGCCGTCTTGGGGCCCCCCTTGCGCGGTCCTGGGGGAGGAACATTAGGGACGTCTGGGCCGTCTCGGGCTCCTGGAAGCCTGACACTGCCAGCATTTTGGGGATATCCCAGAAAGCACGCGCATGCATGACGTTTGCCACTTGAAGGCCGGTTGGACGTCCTCTGGTCTCTTTGGCAGTCGTGGGATGGCCTTGAAGGCCTCGTGAGCCGTCTTGGGGTGAGGTTGGCTGTCTTGGGGCGGCTTTGGTATGTTTGGGGTGTTTACGGGCTTTGTTCCCCATTCGACTAGTTGGGGCTTTTAGGTGCGGCAGCTCTCAGGACGGTGCGGGGGTCTGACCAGGTGGGCGGCAGGGTCGGATCCGGGCTAGCAATTGTTGGGTGAGGGGGTCCGTAGAACAGAGCTCCCAGGACGGTGCAGGGGTCCTAACAGGTGAGCGGCAGAGTCGGTTCCAGGATAGAAATTGTCGGGTAGGGGTCCCAAGAACAGAGCACCCAGGACGGTGTGGGGGTCCGACCAGGTGGGCAGCATTCCCGCCCCGCCCACCCTGCTTACGGCGGACGCCAGATTCCCAGGTCGGTACGCCGAAACGCTAAAACTCGGGACCGCGGAAGCAACCTAGGAAGGCGACGACGGTATCCCAGAGGGCGCGAGCCCAGGAAAGCGCCAACCCGCGAACGCGGCTCCAATAGCACATGACCCGCGAATCCAAAGAAACCGAGGCCTGTACCCTGAAACGAAGGATTGCAAAAAAACCTTGTTTGCTTGAACGAAGGATTGCAAAAAAAAACCTGCACGAAGGATTGCAAACAAAAACCAAACGAAGGGTTTTTTTGCAATCCAACGAAGGGTTTTTTTGCAATCCTGCCGTCTTGCCGATCGGTGCGGGCCCTCGCACCCTCCCCCCTCTCCCGCCCCCGTGCCGTAGATCTTGGCTGCTTTCGGCGCCTGCTTCGAGCAGGTGGAGTCCCTCTCCCCCAGAGGACGCACAGTTCCAGACAGTCGCAGGAAGCAGAGGTCCGGAGCCAGACCCCCCCCCTTTCCCCCCCCCCTCCGCCCAACGTCGAAACGCCGAATACAGAAAACGCTCGCTTTTCCGATGGCGCTCAGCGTCCGGACACCGCGCGTCTTTTCCCGCTGGCCGATAACCATGCCGGCGGCGGCGCAAGTGCCAGTCTTCACTCCAGGGTTTAAGTCGGGCATGTCCCTCTACAGGGGGGATATTCAAACATTGCCAAACAATGATATGGGGACGATCTTTTGAGCATTTGTTTCTACTATTTTGGGGTATTTGGGGGATCTTTTTTTATTTGTCGTTCAAAATCCGTCTGTATGGGGACATGCCCGACCTAACTCTAGGGCACGCGTGCGACGCCGCATCCACAACGAACGGCGACGATGATAGCCACGACGACGACCACGAGCGCGACGACCGCGACCACAGCAAGGACGACGACCCCAGCCCTACTTTGGAGAATGCTCCCGGACCGATCGAACAATTGTTTCGACCCCACACGCTTCATCGTACGGCTCGCGCGTCACGCAAAGGTACGCGACGAGTAGCCACGACGTGAGCCACGACGACGACGACCACGACTGCGACCGCCACAGCCACGAACGACAAACGACCCCCACCCTAAAGAATATACATGTCAGCCCACCGTGCTCCGTTCTTGGGCACGTGGGTCTCGCTGAATTCACCGTTACGGCGAAGGATAGTGAGAGAAACGTCCCCACGCTCGGAAGCGATCAACAGGAATTCAAATTGTTCCTGACGTGAGCAACGACAAGAATTGGGTCTTCCGCGAGACGGCATAGCGAGTTTACGCGCTGGTTTCTGCAGGCCGCCAGCGCGCAGCGCCGAATTGGAAGTGAGGGCGTAAAGTCTGCGCAGTCGACCTCGTTTTCTTCCATCGTCCACGTGGCAGCGTTTAGAGGCCGCAAGACATGCACATGATTTTAGTCGCCACCTGCCAACGCAGAAAAGACAGATAAATCTGATTCCACGCCAAGTCGTCGAATGGCAACTCCGCGGGAGGCCTGGACATATACGATTGCAGTGTGCTCGCCAGGTCAGAACGCCGCGGAAGTGAGAACGCCGCGGAAGTGAGAACGCCTCGGAAGACGAAACAATATTACGAGAACAAGACGCAGACGTCGCCTTCACGACGCTGGCGCTCTCAAAGCACAGCGCCAGCGTTTGCAATGTACAGCTCTTGCGCTTCCAAAGTCTGCGTTCCCATAACATCATTCATAACACAAGAAAGCGGAGCATGGCAACACCAATCATTTGATTATCATGTAATTTCAGAGCACGTAGTACGACATGGTTAGATCACAGATTTTAGTAGAGCAGCGGGCACGATCTAACCGACCACGCTAAACAATATTGTGATATGCAATGCGAGCAGAGGACGCGTCACAACATACCATAACACATTCAAGCGTATCCGAGTTTAGCAGAGTCAACCACGACATCTTGCAAGATGGAAGAAACAAATGAGCGACCATTTGTTAAATTTTAGGAACAGTGCGCCCAGCCCGCCGCATCCACCCTGCATATTGCGATCGATATACAGAATACCCATGAACTAGAACAAAACATAATGGTTCACAGCGAAATATCGAAATATGGAACTTTATGGTGGAGAACACATTTTTTGAGAAGAGTGGAACACTTGGTATCACGATCTAAGAGTAGGAGCCAGTGCAGAACATTCCATATCGCACCATGCCACCACATGATTGGACAGGGCATAACGTAGCGCAACTTTTAACATTGAAGTTTTTAGAAGAACATGTGGCAAAGTGATTGTAACCAACTAGAGTGTATTCGGTCACACATGTTTCCGCCACCATTTGCTTCGTCCGCATCCTCTGCCGTATGAATGCGCGCGTCGTTTCAGTAGGCGCGCGCATTGTTTGGGACAATCGCCGAAGGTTTTGGTGTGGCTCGCTCGAAGCAAACTAAATTGGAATGTGCTGTTTGTTTGGAATGTTGTTGCCTTCTCGGCCAGACCCATCAATCGGACAAAGCCTCTCCAAACAGTGTGTAATCCTCAAGAGAACGATCAATCTGCCTGCGGCGTGTTTTGTCACCTGGCCAGTCCAGCAGTCCCGGTGGCAGTTAATCGTATCGGTGAGGACGATGACGGGGACGATGACGATGAGATTAGAAAGAGGAGAAGGAGAGGATGAGGAGGATTGTTGCGGACGACAGGGATGCCTTACATGATGATATGATGGTGGATGATGGTGATGATGCTGTTGATGATGATGATGCTAATGACAATGGTGATGGCAATGGTTATGCTGGTGTTGATGTTGATGCTGGTGATGCTGATGATGAAGAACACGATGATGCTGATGCTGATGATGATGATGATGATGGCGATGCTGATAATGGTGATATTGCTGATGTTGATGATGCTGATGATGATGATGATGATGTGATGGTGGTGTTGATGATGGTGGTGGTGCTGATGTTGATGTTGATGTGGTCGATGAAAGTGATGCTGATATTGGTAGTGGTGCTGTTGATGATGTTGGTGGTGATGGTGGTGATGATGATGATGCTGATGACGACGATAAGGAGGAGGGCAAGGACGAGACTGGCAGCGATGATGCTGATGAGAAGGAGGGAGAGGAGGAAGAGGAGGATGACGATGATGATGGCGAGGAGGAGTAGCAGGAGCAGGCGGAGGAGGAGGAGGAGCAAAAAACAACGAACAGACCCATCTCTTGTGACACTTTTCATTTGCAATTCTCGAGGAACTTTCATAGACCTCATTTGGGTCGTCTTGGGAATGGCCTGGGTACCTGCAAGGCAGTCTTGGGGGCCCTTCGGGGTCCTCTTGGGACAGTTTGGGGCCCTCCTAGGGCGTCTTGGGGCTCTCTTGGGCCTTCTGGGGTTCTCTTGGCCGTATGGAGGGTGTCTTGGGGCCGTCGTTGGGCCATCTTGGCGTTGTCTGGGGCCGTTGATGGGGATCTCTGAGGCCGTGTTGGCTCCCTCCGAAGGCTTTGTACAGCCAGTTTGGGGCCCTTCAGGCATCTTGAAGGAGGCTCTCATGGGGGCCTCTTGAGGCCATCTTGGAGGCTTCTTGGGACATCTTGAGTTGACAGGAACCGAAGACGGCCAGACTGCGAAACTGAAAATCAAGGGGAAATCAATCACTTGGGTTTCCGCGTTGGGGATCCTGTTGTGGCCCGCTTGGGACCTCCGGGAGCATCCTGGGCCTTCTTGGCGGCCCTGGTCGCTTGCCTGGGCCGTCTTGGAAGCTCGGGACGCGGACCGAAAGCTTTTGGTCGAGGGGATGTGGCCCCAGGGAGCTCCTCCTCCTCCTCCTCCATCCCCCTCCTCCTCCTCCTCCTCCTCCTCCTCCTCCTCCTCCTCCTCCTCCTCCTCGTGGGAGAGGGGGGCGATGCATGCAGGGAGTGCGGGTCGAGGGGGGGGGGGTCATTTGGCAGAGCACACAATTTTCTCGGACAGCCCTGGACATCCTTCCACGCCTGAGCGTGCACAGGGCATGGCGGAGTGCCCAGCATCGGCTCCCGAGAGGGGGGGTCGATCTTCAGAGGGGCGTGCGAGGAGGGGACGGAGCGAGCCCTCGAAAACACCCGAAGAAACCCCTCCAGACAGCACGGAGACATTTGCACACTCTCCAACGTCCCGAGGGAACGGTGGCGGATATCCCTATCCCTATATTTTGTATCCCTCTCCGTGTTCCCCATGGTGGCCCCACATCGATACTCTGTACAGCTGTTCACGGGTCCGGGCATCTGGCCATCTCGTCGATCGTCGATGCATTGCCGATCCATCGCGATTTGGAACATGAGTTTCTTCTCCCGATGCGTCGGCGACGCGATGTGACAATTTTACGCTATGCATTATCTCGGCTCAATTGAGGGGGCCTCGAACTTTGCAAATTCATGTCTTCAAAAGTTGCCAAGTGTCGCCTCCGAGAGCCCCCTTTCCCCGTCCTTCTCGTCATTCTCCGCCTCTTCCTCTTCCTCTTCCTCGCCATCCCTGCCCCTTCTTCTGCTCGTCCTGCTCAGCCTGCTCCTCGTCCTCTTCCTGCTAGTCCTGCTCAGTCTGCTCCTCGTCTCTTCCCGCTCGTCCTCGTCGTCCTGGTGGCCCCGTCGTCCTTGTGGTTCCGTCGTCGTCGCCGGCCTCCCTGCTCTCGTTGTCTCCCCCGCCTCGTCGTCCTGCTCCTCCTCTTCGTCCTCCTCGCCCTCGTTCTCCTCGTTGCCCGCGCCCCCGTCCGCTCGCAGGCGGTCGTGGCACCAGCAGGGCCAGGCATGCACTTGCGCGCACGCCCGTGGCCTTCGCAGGGGGCTTGGGTCCCGGCAGTGCTCGGCCGCCCTCGTAATCGGGTCTTCGCAAGCTCACCGAGGCGCCCACAGGCGCACCGTGGTGCCGTCGGAGCGAGGTGCAAGGTCGAGGTCGGTTCGGGGAGACAGCCCCCATGTTCTTGATGTCTGCAAGATGTTCTTGTGCGTCCTGGGGCAGGGCACCCTCCAATGTTCCTCCGTTTGGCCGGCGGGGGGTCTCATGTTCTCTCGAACGACGTTCTTTTATCCTAGGTCCGATTGTACTCGCAGGCTTCGTGCTGGGGCGCTCACGAGAAAGGTATTCCATTCGCAGACACGCTGTGCCGCTCTCAGGAAATCATGGCACTCGCAGGCTCGGCTCCATGTGATCCTCGCGGTACGGTTGTGACGCTAATATGTTGTCGCGGTGCGTGCTCAGGTTCCTCTTCTCGCACGCGAACACGGTATTGGCAGAGAGTGGCATAATGCACGGCTGGTCGTGGGCCTGGTAAGGTTTGTTTTTTGCTCATCCTGCCCCCGGTGGTCGCAATGACCCGTGGTGCTCACGGACGGGCACACAGTGGGCCCCACCTGCATTACGACGGAGCCTTCCGACAATGCCAGTAACGAAGATGCGCGCGAGCGTTGCGGTGGTCCGCGAAGGACAGCCCATTCCTGATTACCCTCAAGTCGGGCGTGTCCCTCTACAGGGGGAAAATTCAAAAATAGTCAAAAAGTAGTCGGGGGACGTTTTTTTGTTTATTTTCAGCATTGAGGGAGTATTTTTTTAGTATGTTTCGTTTTTCGCCCAAAATCCCCCTGTAGGGGGACATGCCCGACTTAAGATTACCCCCCACGCGATCCCCCCCCCCGCTTGCTGCACAACCGCCCGAGGAGAGGCGCGAAGAAGTGCGTCCGGGAGGCGGAGTTTCACACCATCTTCCAGAGCATCCACGCTTCCGCCCGGCGTGGCCCACAGGTACAGGGGGCCACATGCGAACCCTACCCCTGCCCCCTACGATTTCTGGGGGGGAGGCCTGGCATCGCTCGGACGTGTGCGTTTTTTCCTCGGCGAGGACCATCGAGGAGCATCCTTGACCGCTTGCCGAAAAAAACACGCACGAAACCGACAAAAAACACAGGGAATGGACGTCCGAGCGATGGCGAGGAGGGTGGGGTTCACTTTGTTCGGAAGCTCCCGATCGAAGTGAATGAACCCCACCCCCGCCCTCAGAAATCGTGGGGGGCAGGGGTACAGTCGGGGCCCTGAAGAAGGAGCCCTTTTCGTTGGAGAGGGGGTCGGCGTTCCTTGATTGTTCTGCAGTTTGCCTTCAGTTTTCCTGAGGTTTTCCATGGGAAATCGAAGTTCAACGTATGGGAGAAAGGGGCCCCGTTCCTTTTCTAGGGTTCCTTAGGTCAACGCCCCGACTGTAGGGTTCGCATGTGCCCCCCTAAGGTAGCAGCCCCGGCGCGCCTGGACAGGTAGGCCACCGGATCGACGGAGGCGTGACCCGGGCTCGGGCTCCGCGTTCTCCTGAAGGCTTGTTGTTTCGTGTTGGTTGTGCCTCCTCGTGGTCCGCCGAGCCTGCAGCGAGGCTTGCCGTCCGCAGCAGGCACTTGTGCACAAGAGTGCCAGGCCAGTCGCGGTGGGGTGTGCAATTGTATCCTGCGAGCCTCATTTCACTGAGAGTAAAAGAACTCCGAACCCGAATCACAGATTGAAGACGTTGCCCAACTGAGGTACACTTCTGGGATTAGGGATAAACAAATACGGGCGGTTTGGTTTGCTGCCTCTGCAGAGAAGTCCCCAATCTCTAATATGTTTGGTCCTCCTAACTTAGGTCCCCTCCCAAAGGGAGAGGGGTCCTTGCGCATCTAACCATCAGTTCTTCCAGCTCTGCGGAGCTCGCGGCCAGATCTTCTGGTTGCGGCGTCCACTGGCGGAGAGCGCAGAGGGGGGCAGCCTTGGGCGGGCAGACTTCAGGAGGAAAAACACACAGACACAATGAATCGTCGATTCCCCCGAAAATATTTGAAAATATGGGAATTGGGGGGAAAGACAAAAACCCAGAAACTATGGGAACATATGGGGAATCCTGTTACGCGTGTCTATTTATTTGTGTGTCCCAAGGCCTCTTCAAGACTTCTCAGAAGGCCAGGGGAGCTTTTCTCTCAGGAGTGCCCGCCGACGGAGAACCACCGTGCCTTTCGGGAGCGGCAGCGATCCTCAGACGGCTGCCCTCCTGACCAGCCCACTGCTGCTCATGCTGGAATCCTGGCAGGTGGCATTCCTCGTCTGCCTGGGTATTCTCTTGACACGAGCCCAGCTTCTTTCTGTTTGGATGTATGGCGTAACCGGTTATTGCTCCAGCTTGATCGCCCACAGCCCACGAAGATCTACAAGGAGCCCTGTGCAACAATGAGAATGCGATACCGCTGCTCTCTGGGCTTTCCCCGTGGGGCGGCCCGACCAGGATTTTGCGGCGACTCCCGTTGTGGCGATCAGTTTCTCCCAGGTAACCCAAGACGGCGAAAACGAGGGAATGGGCGGTACTGGAATTGGTATGTGTTCCCCTTTCTGAGAGTTGCTGGATATTCATGTTCGCCGCCGAAAGTTGAAGGCATTGCCACTGGGTTTTGAGGCCCACCCAGGCGGTTGAGCCCATGCCTCTGGCGTCGACCTGTCCCCGAAGCGGGCTGGTCGGACCTCGGATAGCTTGGAGGCGAGCCGATTGACCGGCGTCATCGTCAGCTTCCTCTCCCTACCCTCTCGTTCCTCTTTCTCCTCATCACCTACCCCTACTCCCTCCGCCCTTTGCCTTCTTTTCCCCTCTCCCCCCCACCCCCCACAAGTGCCACGCCGTGCCAAGATTTGCGAAGCCGTCGATGCGGAACGCCACGACGCTTTTTTAGGAGGCCTGTGGTTGTCTGGCAGCCGTCTAGAGGCAGATGGCAGATAGGGGTGCTGGTGAGCTAAAGAAAAGTGGGGGGATCCTCGGAGGACGCGGCAGGGGGGGAACACCGCTTGAAGTCCACGTGCAGAAGCCACACAACAGCACGAATAAGCACTCTAACACGCCCCTTTGTGCCAGAGACATGGTGGCGATTCAGCAGCAGTCCAAAGCAAGAAGCATAATGCAGCAGGCCAGCAACAGCAAACAGCACCAGGCGATTCAGGCAAATCCGTTGCACCAAGCAGCAGCAGCGCAAACAATAGTGGCAGCAGCACGCAGCGGCATCGAGCCACAGCCGATGCAGCAGAAGGCGGAAGGGCGGCAGCAAGCAACAACAAGCGAGCAGCAGCAGTCGACGGCAAGCGACGGCAGCAGCAGCTGGTACAGGCAGCAGCGAGGTTCCTTTGTCTCAGCTGTCGGACCAGCGCTTGCCACAGTAAGCACAGCGCTGGCCGCCTCGACCGCTGCACTGCCGCGCCCTTGGCTGACCACCACGCCGCCGCGCCGCTGCCGCTCGAGGCACGACGGCAACGACGAGAGGGGACGAGGGCGACGACGACGGGCGAAGCGGACGAAGGACGGCGACGACGACCGCCGCCGAGGGCCCCCTGGAGGCCTCTGGAGGCCCCGCGGAGGTCCCCGTTCGTCACCCGAGGTCCCCAGGTGTTCACCGGAGGGCCGAAGACGCCCGGAGCCTCGCCTGTCGAGCCTCGATCTTTTTGTTGTTTGTTTTTGTTTCCCTGGGTGTCTCGTCGAGCGTTCTGGGCGTGCGGCGGAGGGCATGCAGAGGAGGAGGAGGCGGAGGAGGAGGGAGAGGAGGAGGAGGAGCCTGATGAGGGTGGAGGAGGAGGAGGAGGAGGAGGAGGAGGAGGAGGAGGAGGGTGGATGGAGGGGGTGAGGAGGAGGGTGGATGGATGGGGTGAGGAGAGGGGGAGCGGGAGAGGAGGAGGGGGAATAGGGCAAACTGGGTGCGCCCCGCGCCAGAGTCTGGACATCCTGTCCCTCCCTCCCATCCCTTCTCGTTGCGCTGTTTTCTTTCTGTTTGTGGGCGCGTTCCAGAGCCGACCTGAGATTCCTACATTAAGAACTCATCGGGTGATTCGCAATCGGAGATAGGGGAACTGCATACATACAAGTAGGACGTTGCGGGTGAGCAGGAGGATGAGCAGGAAGATAAGGAGGATGACGATGAAGGAAGAGGACGAGGACGAACAGTAGCAGCATGACTTGGAGTGGGAGGAAAGGGAGGAGCAAGAGGACTAGGGGAAGGCGGAGGAGGGGAAATAAGAGAGGCGACAACGATGACTCGGATCCTGATAAGTTGCCCGCGCTGGGGCGGGAGCGCCATTCTGAACGACGGGAGCAAAGCGCCGATCAGGAAATGAGGCCCTCGCTGCAGGGGGAACACCTTTTTGAAACACCGATTTCAATCGGATTCCACAAACAACGCAATAATACAAATGTTTGAAATCCTGTGCATAAGAAACCGTACGCGGAGAGGACTTGAGATCTCCCAGACAGAGTCTGGGGAGAGAGGAGAGGTGTATCCATGATGTGCAGGTGATCATTTGTTTATTCATTGTTTTGCGGATCGGCGCGGGCTTTCGTACCCCCCCCTCCCCCCCTGGAGTAGATCTTGGCTGTTGTTTGGCGCCTGTTCCGAGCAGGTGCAGCCTCCCCTCATCGGACGCACTGTCGCAAACAGTCGCGCTAAGCAGAGGTCCAGAGCCAGCCCCCCCCCCCCCTCTTCGCTCGATGCCGAAACGCCGAACCAGAAAACGCCCACGAGCTGTGGAGAGGGAGGCGGAGGGTGGAGGAGTGGAGAGGGGGAGGGAGGAGGAGGCGGAGGGACCTCGATCCTCGCAGCTCCCCGCGCGACGACGCCGCCGCCGGCCACCGCGCCGCCACTCAGCGGCTCGCCCCCGCCGCCGGGGGGGCGGGCGGCGGCGGTGGCGATGCCCGCGCTGCCGGGCGGGCGGCCCGGCCCTCGCCGGCCCGCCGCGGGCCCGGCCGCGGAGCGCCTAGGAGCGCTGCCCGCTCTGCGAGGCGGGGAGTTATCCAGATCCACCGCCTGGGGACCGACGTCCCCTCCTCCTCCTCCACCTCCTCCTCCTCCGCCTCCTCTCCTCCTCCTCCTCCTCCTCCTCCTCCTCCTCCTCCCTCCTCCTCCTCCTCCCCCTCCTCCCCCTCCTCCTCGGGTACCCCAGCGGGCGGTGAATATGGATATATTTCGGCCCCCGGGGGCCCGAATATGTCCATATCCACCGCCTGCCGAGGAACCGAAAACTGACCCTCCAGGCGGTGGATATGGATAAATTCCCGCCTCGGACGCTCGTCGCAGCCACGCGCAGAGGGGGGTACAGTGGAAGCCCATGCCAAGAATCTAGGCCTCCCAGATGGGGTCCGAGCAGGTGGGGTCGGAGGATCGCGCCGCGTCGCCAATGAATCGCCGATGCGGCTCGATGCGGAGCTCGGTTTTCTCCGCGCCGACATCGCCGATGCATCGCCGACGTCGACGATGCATCGTCCGTACATCACTGATGTATCGCCGATGCATTGCCTATGTATCGGCGATGCTGCTAAAGAGGCCTCTAAAGAAACACCCTGGTTGCCTCCAGTGTGCCCTGGTTTTCTTGGGTTTCGACGGGTTTGCTATGGGAAGCGCGACGTTCTCACAACAAAAATCAAGGGGCGTCCTGGGGTTCGAGGGTTGGGTTTATTGTGGAACGTTTCTTGTGGTCGAGCT